TCTGGAGACCACCTTCTTAGCCACCTCACTGTATGCCTCCCTTTACCGTTAAGCATAGCAGTTCATTCAGGCGAGCAGAACCACCACTGGCATTATGGGAATTAGGAATTTATTACTAGAAGGAGACTTTACCCAAAGATGAAAGGAGCTGGGGAAGTGAAGATCTGCAAAGAATTGCAGGATAATTAGAGAGGGGTCACGAAATCTCACACCAGGTCCTCGTTTTATCAGCTCTAGAAAGAGCCCTGTTGGCGGGGCATTCTGTAAACAAACTTTTCAACTTCACCAAATCAATTTAGCACAATCCAGAACATTAGAAAATCTTTGGTGCAAATAAAATGTAGCTAACTAAAAGCCCAAGCAACAGAAGAAAGTCACATTTTTGTATATTTATCTCTCATTTTTAATGGCTGCATACCCATTGAATGTAGTGTAGCCCAACTTTGTATTTAGTAGCTTTACAAACATTTGAAAAAGAGTAAATCCTTTAGAGTTGAACTCCAAGGTCTAAGCAGGAGTCTGGCATACAGTAGAAGCTCAGTAAATGTTGAGGGAATGAATGGATGCTACATGACCAGAGCACCGAGCTGGGTAGCATCAACTCCTACTCTTAAACTCCAGCAGATAACTGACAAATCCCTTGGAGCAGAAAGTGCCTCATTCTCTCAGGTAAGTGGAAGGTAATTCTGCCCACCAACAGGCCACTACTTTGTCTTCTGGTCAGCACCTAAGCTTGGATGAAAAAATTCTGTTTATTACTGCCAGTTAGAACTGATTACCACCTTTTTGGGTGTCTTACTTGTACACAGTGATTCATTAGTTGCCCTTTCTCATGCATAGAGGTGGGGCCCCAACATTTATGCTTGTTCAGTGAGAACCTATCCCTTGCCACAGCTGATTGGAATAGTGTTAAATGCCTAACCACAGCTGGGCCAATCTGATTCTCACTTCTAGGAACTTGGAATTGGAACCAAGAAAGATACTGACTTTTTATGAATGGTTTATAAATATATAATATAGCAAGCATAGGACTGGGGACATGGCTTAAGAAGCAGAGCACTTGCTTAGCATGTTCAAGGTCCTGGGTTCAATCCCCAGTACTAAAAACAAGCTAACAAAAGAAACAAGCATAAATAAATAAATGGGGGATAGAAAGATCACTACCAATGATGGTATTAGGATAACTGACAATTCAGCAAAAGTTGCTTTGGTTTATTAATTCACATAATACATCAAAACTAAAAAATAAAAATGCTTTTGGAAGTAAATCACAGAGTGAGAGAAGATATTCACAAAGGACACATATTCAGAATATATAAAGAACAAGAAAAGACCACAAATAGAAAAATTGGCACAAGATTTGAACAGGTCACAACAGAGGATACTGAAATGGCCGATAAGCATGTGAAAAAGTGTTCATCTTCATTAATTACCAGGAAAATGCAAATCAAAACAACGAAAAGGAGTTGGGCATAGAGGCACACACCTGTAATTCCAGTATTTGGGAAGATGAGGCAGAAGAATCGTGAGTCTGAGGCCAGCCTGGGCAACATAGGGGAAACCCTGTCTCACAAAACAAACATACAAATGGGGTGTCAGTGGCTCATGCCTGTAATCCTAGCTTCTTGGAGGGAGAAGTCAGGAGGATCACTGTTCGATGCCAGCTCAGGCAAATAGTATACAAGACCCTATTTCAAAAAATACCCAACACAAAAAAGGGCTGGAAGAGTGGCTCAAGTAGTAGAGTACCTGCCTAGCAAGTGTGAGGCCCTGAGTCCAAACCCAGTACCACCCAAAAAACAAACAAACAAACAAAATAATAAGGCACCATTTTATACAGCAGAATGGGTAAAGTGGAAAAGTTGACTACATCAATTGTTAATGTAGAACAACTAGAACTTTCACTCTCTGATAGTAGCAGTGTCAGTTGGCACAATCAGACGCCATGGAATGATTTGCTATTTGGGAGTATATACTAAAGCTGAATGTACACATAATTTATCCTACAGCAGTTCCACTCCCAGGTATACACCCAAAAGAAATGTATATAGCCAAGTTATGGAAACAGCCAAGATGCCCCAGCACTGACGAATGGATTAAGAAAATGTGGTATCTATACACAATGGAATTTTATGCAGCCATGAAGAAGAACGAAATGTTATCATTCGCTGGTAAATGGATGGAATTGGAGAACATCATTCTGAGTGAGGTTAGCCTGGCTCAAAAGACCAAAAATCGTATGTTCTCCCTCATATGTGGACATTAGATCAAGGGCAAACACAACAAGGGGATTGGACTATGAGCACATGATAAAAGCGAGAGCACACAAGGGAGGGGTGAGGATAGGTAAGACACCTAAAAAACTAGCTAGCATTTGTTGCCCTTAATGCAGAGAAACTAAAGCAGATACCTTAAAGCAACTGAGGCCAATAGGAAAAGGGGACCAGGAACTAGAGAAAAGGTTAGATTAAAAAGAATTAACCTAGAAGGTAACACCCACGCACAGGAAATCAATGTGAGTCAATGCCCTGTATAGCTATCCTTATCTCAACCAGCAAAACCCTTTGTTCCTTCCTATTATTGCTTATACTCTCTCTACAACAAAATTAGAGATAAGGGCAAAATAGTTTCTGCAGGGTATTGAGGGGGGAGCGGGAGGGGGTGGAGTGGGTGGTAAGGGAGGGGGTGGGGGCAGGGGGGAGAAATAAACCAAGCCTTGTATGCACATATGAATAATAAAAGAAAAATGAAAAAAAAAAAAAAGAAAAAAAAAAGAAACTATAAAACAAAAAAAAAGAAATGTATATATTTGTTTACCAACAGACATGTACTAGATTATTCATAGCAACAGTATTTATTATGACTCAAGTCTAGAAACTCTCAAATGTCCATCAATAGTAAATGGATAAAATACCCTGTGGCATAGTGATATTGTGTAATACTATATAGCAATGAGAATGAATGAATTATAACTACTACATATAACATGGATGACTCTCACAGATATGTTAAAAGAAAGAAGTACTCATTAGATGGCCCATTTATATAACGAGATGATCAAAATTGAACTCTGTTGACACAAGTCAGGTTAGTGGTTACACTTGAAGGATAGTAACTGACAGGGGATGGGGGATCCTGGGGATGCTGGTAATTCTCTATTTCTTTATCTGAATACATAGGAGTATTCAGTTTGTAAACATTTCACTGAACTGTACACTTTCAATACACACCCTTTACTACATATTGTACTTTGTTGTACAGTTTTTTAAAAGGTAACTTTTAGGAGCAGATTAGTTGCCTGCCTGCATCTGAATCTGCAGACAACTTCCTTATTTAACCTTCACAACAACCCTGAAGCAGCCAGATCCTGAGGATGCAGAGCCTCTCAAACTTCTTTGGATGATTATTTTCCAAGTCTGAGTTTACATAGGCAAAGAAATGTAAGCAGTATTTTTACACAGAGGTGGCTGCAGGAGTGGGGATAGGAATGAATACAGTTTAGTTGCTCTGATCACCATCAGCACCCCATCCAGGTTATCCTAAACAAATTTTCAATCTATTTTTAAAAATAACATGCTCCAGTCAATTCATATGAACATCAGTATAAGAAAAGAGGGCCAGTGCTTTCTACACTACACATGATCTTAGCCAAAAGGCGAAGAGATTGGTGCTTTCTATACAAAGTGTTGCAAGACAGGCATTTCCACCACAGGTCTTTTTCCACCCACCTTGCAATGAGATTCTGGTCTCCTACAGCCTTCCATATCTCAGTTCTGTCGGAGTGCAGGTTTAGCCTGTCGACTACAGGTTTGACTCTTGTGGTTTAAGCGAAACTCCCTCTGGGATGCATCAGGACCAAGTCAGCCAGCTCTCATTGGTGGCAGCAGCTCAGGTCTCTGCTCCAGCACAGGTCAGTTCTCCACCAACAGCAGGTCTCAGGTTTTACTGGCAAGTTGTCTACTGTACCTCTTCTCATCCTTTTACAAATCTTTCTGAATGCCCCCACCCACCTAATCCCGCACTTTCCACCACCCCTGCCACTGATAATGGCCACAGAACCAACATATCAAATCCAATGTATTGGATTTTTTTTGGGGGGTGGAGGTGGGTGGGATTGGGGTTTGAACTCAGGGTTTCACGCTTGCAAAGCAGACGTTCTACAGCTTGAGTCACATCTCCAGTTCATTTTGCTCTAGTTATTTTGGAGATGGGCAGGTGGGGAGGGTCTTGTGAACTATTTGCCCCGGCTGGCCTCGAACCGTGATCCTCCTGATCTCAGCCTCAAGCATGAGCCAATCGCACGTGGCCAATCTATCAGGTTTAAAACAGTTCCATTCACATCCCTGAGCTCCCACCACTTTATCTTGATGGGATTCTTTGGTTATTCTGCAAATTGATTAAGTGAACATTTGCTTATTTATTCAAGAGGCAAAATAAGAAATGGGGTGTAGTTAGTAAACTCATTTGTTAGTCAATAATGCTCCAGAATTGTGCTGGGAGTTACAGCGAAAGGGGAAAAAAATTGTCTAAGTCATCAGATAGTACCATTTTCCTACTTAAAATCGCTCAATTTCTTCCCGTATTGGAATAAAAAACAGACAACGAACAAGTGTGGGGAAGAACCGCCTCAAAAATTACCATTTATTTATCTATAAAAATGTAAAGGTGATGGGATTTTACAGTTATGTCTCTTTTCAAATGCTATTTGTCCAATAAACAAAAACGAAGGAGCTATTACCACCCTGCAACTCCAAGCACCAGCAAACTCCACCTTCCACACAGCTTTTCCTTTTCTGGACGCTTTTCTATAAACATCGCGAGAATAGAGACGCTCCTTGGACCCCTCCCCCTCAGGCAGTTCAACCCACCCACTTCCTGCTGGCGATCGCCTGACGTCAGAGGCGCGCCGAGGCGCGTGACAGAGGTACCTTGGGCGGAAGTGCACGCTAAGTTAGGCGTGGGTGGGATGGCTGCAGGTCGGTTCTTCCTAAATTCGCTTCGAGCACGCTTCAGTTCCATGACCATGAACCCACTCGAGGGTGCGCCCTCCTCCAGGGCCCTGCACGCGGGGCGCGGGCCCCGAAGGCTCTCCATTGAAGGCAACATTGGTAAGGGCCAGAAAGTGGAGCCTTGGCCTCCGCTAAGCAGGTGACTGACAGGCTGGGAAAGCAAGCTGGGCAGGGAATCCTTCCTTCCACTCACCTCAGTCTCTTGCGACCGACAGGCCAACTTGTTCCTAGCTGCTAGGGGTTTTCTCCCCGAAATGGACTACGGGTCTTGCCTCTGACTTCAGGATACTGGGCCTCAGTGCCCGCCCACAGGAACACATTTGGTGGAGCGTAAAAGCCACCCAGGCTAGAACAAGAATTCTACTAGCTTGTTCTGTTAGATCGAAATGGAAGCGACAAGCTGGGTGCAGTTTCTTTGTTTTCCTGAGATAGGGTTACCAGATTTAAAAAAGATAAAAAATGCCCAGTTCACATAGATTTTAAGATAAAAAATGAATCATTTTTAGTGTATGCCACCTGCAGTATTGAAGAAATACCCCTAAAAATGAGTCATTGTTTATCTAAAACTCACATTTAAGTGAATGCCTGTTTATCTGGTAACCGCTACTGTAAGAGAACACCTAAACTTCAGTAATTCGAATGGCACTTTCATTATTTTAACCATCTCCCTGTGCTAGTTGCACCATAATTTGTTAAGGTCTTTCTTAGAAGGAGCTCATTTTTTAAACTTAAAAATGTGTACTTAAAATAATTTTGTCACAAGAGTAGAGAGCCATTATCTTTAATAAAAAGTAATGAAAAAGCAAAACATTTTAACTTAATGTTACTAAATTCTGACTTAATATGTAGACCTACAGAGGCCTAAGCCCAAAAAGGGGATTAACAAATGTTGAGTACTGAGAACATTCTAGCTGAAACCTGAAAATTTCTCATTTTATTCATTCAACAAATCACCCTTTTAGCCACTTCCGTATGCCAGCACTTTTCTTGGCCCAGAGGATCCATCTGGAAACAGGACAAAAAAAAAAAAATCTTACAGCACTCTAATAGGGAGAGAGAGGGAGACAATAAACTACATACAAGGTAAACAGTATTAGATAGTAATGAGTATGATGGAGAAAAATCAAGGATGAGAGATTGAGGGAAATTGTTATTTTTAAATAGGGTAGTCAAGAAAGGTCTCACCAAAGTGGCACTTGATCAGAAACCTGAAAAAGGTGAGGGAGTGAACCATGTGGATAACTGGGAGAAGAACCTTCCAGGCAGAGTGCGGAGCAAACAGAAAAGCTCTGAGGTGGAATGGTGTATTCAGAGAATAGGAGAGATCCCACTGGGGCTGGAGTAGGGTGACCAAGAAAGTGAGTGAAGGGAGATGAGACCAGATTGTACAGCCCTTATAGTTTATTATGGATTTTTAGTTCAATTAAGACAGGAAGCCATAGGATGGTTTGAGAAGTGAAGTGACAAAAAAAAAAAGAAATCACCTGGTTGATACGTTGAACATGAAAGAGTTAGTTAGTTAGTTAGTTAGTTAGTTAGAAGGCCATTGCAAAATAAGTTTTGATTAAGTTGGACCAGGGTGAAAGTTATATTTTAAGATAGGGCCAACTAGACTTGGTGATAGATTTAGTGTGTAGTATGAGATAAAGAAAGAGGTCAATGACCCCAGTCATTTTGGTTTGAACAGTTTGAAAGATGGAGTCCTATTTTTTTGTGTTTTTGTGGTGGGGGAGGTGCTGAGACCTTGTACATGATAGGCAAGCACCCTTGTCACTGGGCATCTCCAGTGGTGAGACAGCCTCACTATGCAGGCCAGATTCGCTTAAATACGTGATCCTCTGCCTCTGGGGTTGCAGGTGTGTGCCACCACACTCAGCTCGGATTTGCTTCAATGGAGAAAACAGGGAAGAACAGATTGGATAGGTGGTTTCAAAATTTGTTTTTAAGAATATTAGGTTTTTATATGGCTATTAGATATCCAAGAGGAAGTGTTAGCTAGATTATGGATATTTGAGTCAAGAATTCAGAGAGTTCCTGGACTAGAGCTATAAATGTAGATGACGTTTAAAACCAGGAGATGGTGTTGAAGGACGGACTGAGCCCTGGGACATACAGATGTTAAAAGATTGGTGAGATGGGAAGGAGGAAGTAAAAGAGAATGAGAAGTAAAGACCACTGAGATAGAAAAAACAAAAAAGGATGATACCTTGGAAACCGAATAAGGAAGGTGTTCAGAGGGAGGAAGTGATGAATTGTGTAATACTGTTTTAAGTGACTAAGTCTTAGGTGAACTTAAAAAGAACAGTTTTAGGAGTGGTAGGAATGAAAGGCTGATTGGCAGAGATTCAAGGAGAATAGGAGGTGAGGAATTAGAGTAGGTTAAGACAACTGTTTGGAACATTTCCTAGAAAGAGGAGTCATGGGGTGGTAGCTGAAATTGGAAGAAGGTTTGCAAGTTTTTAAATTCTGTTTTTCTTTTTATAAGAGAGATTAGAAAATTTTTTTTGATAGAAATGGTCTAGTCGGAAGGAGAAAAATTGGTGAAACAGAGGAGAGAATATAATTGCTGGAGTGTTTCTTAAGTAAAAAAAGAGTTGGATCTATTGTCCAAGTGGAAAAAGTTTAGCCTTAGTAGGTAGGATCACAATATCACAGTTTATCCCTAGTAACAGGAGGGATGACAAAATATATAAGTTCTGATTCCACAGGTGTGGTGGGAACTTGGGAAGGTCTTTGGGTTGTATCCATTTTCACAGTGAAATAGGGAAAAAGGTTATGGAATGAAATTTGAGGAAAGTGGAGAAGACATGAAATAGTCCAGTAAGTAGAGGAGAGAAATGTCAAATTGCTAGTGGCATTAAGGACCCACTTGAAGTTAGTGGTCATGAATATGAGAGAAGTCATCATGGCTATTTGTTTTTCTCTAGCTAAATCAGAAATACTGAAAGGAATGAGAAAGGAAGGTCCTGCTCCTACCTGATAGTATTTAAAGATGTTCTGTCATGTACTTTGAGGAATGCAACCCTGAGGAAAGCTCTGCCCTCAGACATCAGAGAGGGACCAGGGTATTTCACAAATAAGTACACTGGTCAGGTTATCAGGTAGATTTGAGCTCCTAATTTTCCTGATGTTTTGCTTCCTCACCTAGCCAGATTTCTATGCTTCTTCCTTGCTTTCTCATGTAACAGAGGCTTACTAAACATCTACTTGGAATATATCCTCATGCTAAGCACAGTAGCAAATGTGATACTGTTCTTGTCCTTCAAGGAGCTCTCAACCAAGTGGGAGAAGCAGGCTTCTTAACATAATTTTCATACTGTGTAATGAGATCCATGATTGGGCATAGAAACTCAGAATCTCTAGTGTAGGCATTCCCAGGGAAGGAAAGAAGAAAAAGAGTTCCAGGTACAGGAAATAATATTAGCCAAGATGATGAAGGCTGAAGAAACATTCAATTTTAATTTAAAGAAAAAGTAGGCAGATGTGCCTGGAGTTTAAGAAGCCTGTGAGAGGGAGAAGAACAAGAGGTTGGAGGGACAGGATTTTGCAAATGTTGAATCCTGTGGGCCTCTGGACCATGCTAGATTATCCTGTTGTCAGTGGGAGGCTACAAAAACTTGAAGTCAGTATGTGCCATGACCAGATTAATTTAAAAAGGAAATTGATTATTAGTGAATAGAAAGAGGGCTGGAGGTGTGGCTCAAGAGGTAAAGTGCCTGCCTAAGAAGCATGAGGCCCTGAGTTCAACCCCCAGTACTAAAGAAAAAAAAAAAAAAACTCCATAAAGTACGTCTTATTTGCTGAGGTACTAATAGGGCCTTACATCCAGTTTGTTGATGAATGAGTTAATTAATTGGGACAGTTTGCAGTAAATAGAGTAATTTTGTGGCTATTGTAACTGGAGGGCAGAACGTTGCAGACCAGAATAGAGGGAATGAAGAGAGAGAGAAATTACTGTCTAAAAGACATTTTGAATTGGGATTGACAGGACTTGGTTGGGCACTTGGAGCTGTAATCCTAGCTACTCAAGAGGCAGCGATCAGGAGTTTTGCAGTTAGAAGCCAGCCCAGGCAAATAGTTCGCAAGACCCTATCTTAAAAAACCCTTCACAAAAATAGGGGGAGTGACTCAAGTTGAAGGCCCTGAGTTCAAGCAGAGTAGAGGAGGATGACACTGAGGCTTATAATTTGGATGCTTACTCAAAAGCAGAGGATGGACTAAAGGAAGAAGTGGTCTGGGGGTGATAAGAGTGATACATTTTATATGAGGTACCTGTGAGACATACAGAGGTGGATATCCTAAGGCTAAATGGTATGTGTGCCTAAAGTCCAGAGAGACTGGAGATGGGAGCTGAGAATTCAGATATGGAAATTGTAGACTGGTGGAGTAGGTCATTAAAGCCTTGGAAATGAGTGCGGATGACAAGAAAACAGTGATGTGAAGTGGCCTGTCTGACTCTTTACTTTCATCTCTTACTATTCTCCATCTCCCCACACATCCAGATGACTCTTCCCAGACAGAATTAGTCACCCCTCCTCTGTGGGCTGTCATAACTTTGTACTCACAACTCTGGTAGCACTTGAGTTCTTTTGAGATTGTTTGCATGTTCAACACCTTCCCTGTGTTGGAGCCACCCAGTATCCTGTTTACCTTTGCATCTCCTGACCCATTGTTCTGACCCGTGCCTCACCCATTGCACTCATTCAGTGATTACCAGATTCTTTGTGTGTGTGTTTGGGGGGGCAGCAATTCTGGGGTTTGAACTCAGGGCCTCATGCTTGCTAAGCAAGGCACTCTACCACTTGAGCCACTCCACCAGTCCTGTTTTGTGTTGGGTATTTTCGAGATGGGGTCTCAAGAACTATTTGCCTAGGCCGGCTTTGAACCACAATCCTCCTGATCTCTCTGCCTCCCAAGTAGTTAAGATTATAGGCATGAGCCACTGGTACCTGGTATGATTTCAATATTTGTGGGGTTTTTTTTGGTGATACTGGGATTTGAACTCAGGGCACTTGAGCCATACCTCCAACCCTTACCAGATTCTTGAATCTTGTTCTATATCCATGTAGAAGTTAGTTATTGGGGTAGGGGGAAAGAGA